CCAACAAACCTTTTTGGCTGTTCGGATTCCGAGCCGAAGACCAACACTAGAAATCAAAGTGAGACTTTACAGAAATGGCAATGAAAAGACGCCAAACAGGCTAAACAAAATAAACAGAGCTTTTGATGCGTAAATATTGCTCATCATAAAGGTTTTTAGAGAAAACCATACGTCCCAAGTCCTAAAAAGTGTGGTCTTCGCGGCCGACACTAACGCTGAAGGATCCTTTTTTACGAGAATTAATTCACTGACTTCGGTACGCCCCGCAGTGTGGTTCTCATTGTTTTTGTCCACTGCAGAAATGAAGCCGCCTGGGCTGTGCGCGTTTGTGCCGTCAACACTCGTGGGTGCGCTCGGTGTGGGACAACTTCAGTGGTTAGTACCCACATAATTTTTCGAATCCGTACAACCTCGTGTAGCGGTCCGTTCCGCGACTGCATGAATGGTTGATAAACAATTTCTGCAACAATCGGAAGTGCACAATTGTAACTAAAAAGAGGCCACAACAGGTCTATTCACAACGGAGGCTCCTTCGCAAGCAATTGGGCGAGCTGTCCAGTAAACATCTCAACTTATAGTCATGTTGCATCACACAGTTCGGCAGTCTCTTGTGCTGAAACGGCCGACGTCCATTGCCCCGTGTGAACCTGCAGGAAAGTGTTGTGAAATCGAAAAATATATTCGTCTATGGGTACCGTTCGGAAAGTTGGTGGTTCTGGCAGTTCACACAAGCCTGCTTAAAAGGGCAGGCTGACAAAGAATGTGGTGACAAAAGCAGCAATTATTTTATGTCTACTCACGCCTTCTTCAGCCAGCGATACTGATGACCATCGCCTGCGACTGGACACAACCGATGGCCGCAAAATGACGGTACATACAGTTCACGACAAGACGAAGTAGAGGACGCAGGAGCACCGTTGAGACAAACTCTACCAGTGTCCATACATCAGTCACTGTCGGTTTAGATGCAATATCTATTCACACTGCGATAAGTTCCCACTTAGCTGACGGGCGTCTAAAACAAAACTAGTCGGTCTTTTGGTATGCAATATTGGGGACTACAGTAAAATGTGCGTTTTCTGATTATTCTGAAACTTGAATTGAACAAAAGAGCTAAAACTAAACAACTGGGCTAGAACATGGCCGGTGCGCAAGTGACGCTCTTCAGCCTAGACTGCGGACGTACGAAAGCTAAGCTATGCAGTATAAAAACGTTCCTACGAAACACGCTCCAGGTCGCCAAGGCACAAGACCATTGTTGAGCTGTGTCCAGTCAACGCCACTCCTGACAAAATCGAAGACAACGGCGGCAGTGTGAAGCATTAGGAAAATAAATCCGTCGACTTTACTTAAGCAATTCAACTTTTAGGTGAATAAGATGAGCTCGTGCAGTCTGGACCGGTGCCGACGTGACGCCTGCATGTGTCCATGTGTTTGCGAATATCTATGAAGTTTAACGTCCGAAAGTATGGGTTCGGGTTGCAAAAGGCCGAAAAACTTACGATGGTAACCCCTACGGTGGACACAAATTATTGAGCTATATGCAAGCATGATACCGAAAGTTTCTGATGACGTAAAGTACTTGTGCAAATGTGTTTTTATTGGCGGTTAATTCAAACCCGAAGGCCAGAAAGGACATGAAAAATTCGCTGAGCAAAGGATAACAAAAGAACTCGTCGATAATGCACTGACGGTAGTTGAATGAGTCGAAACGACTTAATGCAGACGGGGTACGTTAACTTAGAAATGGGTCGGGCACACTGGATGAACAAACTTACGGTGCTGGCTGATAAGCATGCGAATACTAATCCGCATCGTATGAAAGCGATCCAGAAAGTACTGCATCTGATTTTCTAGTGCAGTGTCGCTGCCGTGAGTTTCTCGCATTTCCATCACACCCTGTCAGATATTACACAGTCGTTAGTGACAACTTACACAAGCCATTGTCTCAACTACATTTGCGTGTCGTCGGAGTGTCTCTTCGAGAAATTTCAGGTAATCATCGCAATTCTTTGTCGTGAGCTCGACGCTTTCAAAGTCAGCTAATTCGCTGAAGGACTCTTCGTACCTGGAGCGATGGTATTACAAAATATCGCTGTACCAGCTGGTTACCAGAGCCGCCGATGGTGTCGTGAGGAGCTTCTTCGGCAAAAGATGAATTTCTTGTAAAATATTTGCGACTCTGACGGGAAGCTCTGACCTTAAAAAGGCCGTTGACTTGGTAATATCTCCTTTTATAGCTATAGGACTTCTAGTTTCCTTAAAAATGACAGCATACCAAAGGCACTCAGTTGTTTCAATGACAACGGGGTTGGCGAAAAGGTCGCATACCTAGCAAACTTCTCAGCAGCCTTTACTGACAAAGCACAGACCAATTGTGTAAGGCGCATCGCGAGTACCCGCAAACGCGCCAGGCGGACGGTGACTGGCTTCAAAAGGGTCTCCCGGTATTTATATGAAAAATATTATAGGGTCTCAACGGATTCTAAATTCGCCAATCGGATATCAGGACTTAGTTCATTTAAACCATGCACGCGCCACAAATGTAGCGAACATAGCAATCTACTGTTGGGATTAATTGATAACGGACTTGAGGACTTGATTTCCTTCACACCGACGATCAAAATCTCACTTATGACCGTTCTGATGACAGTGAGCGAAACGTAAAATGACACTTTTGTAGGCTTTCTGACCCCTCAGTAGCTTTAAAACCTCATGTTAAGCGCGTTGAACTTATGTCACAGCAGTGTTTATTCGAAGTTGTATTAGATAATCTTCTGAGAATACCAGTATGCGATCTCCGTCTACCTCGACTGTCAACGGTGGGCGTCCAACCCTCCAAAGATATATGGAGCTCAATGCATTCTATTGTCGGCGGACTGCAAATCAGGAGGGTCAAGAGTTTGGGCGGAATGTTTTCTGCCGTCGAACGCAAAACTGTTCACGAAACTCAAGACTATTGCCTGTATGCAGGTTTATGATAAGATATACGGCTATTTATACTTATCTAGTTACCATGCTTTTGAAATTCACCTTTTTGTCTCCTCTTCTTATTTTCGGCGACATCTTGCTATAACTTAGTCGCACATCCGGTTGGCCGCCCGCCCGATTACTCTCCTTCATCGAACCCCGACATCAGAACTCGCAGCAAGGGCGGGCATAGAAGGATGTGTCGTCGCATTCTACAGCGTGCATAAGGTGTTAAAACAACATACCCGAATACCTAAAGTCTGACGGGACATCGTCCAATCATATAGTGTCCTTAAGTGGTTAGCCTGCCGGCTAAAATGCTGACTCATCTAACTGGTTTAGTGAACCTACGATACTGTAAAGAGCTGAGACAGCATCCACGCGCGCACGACTTATGGGCGGACAGTTAAGACAGCGTGCAGGTCAGGCGATTAGGACGACCCTCTCTAATCGTTCTTTTGGAAGTTGGTTTGAAATGACTGACCTCCACGGGATTTACTTTTTTGAGCTTTCTGTATACCGGGCGCCCTGGCGATCCGTTGGGATTAAGAAACTGATTCGTGCGGGAAGTGCCTTAATTTTCACAGTAATATAAAAGGACTTGCGGGAGAAGAACCGGTCTCCTTCCGTCTACTTTCCTCTCGATAGCGCCGCGAGATTCCCAAAATCCTAGAACGGCGATGTCGTTTGTCTGATTAAATACCTCTTCCCATGCCCTTAGAAATGTTTCAAGTTTATCCACACGACAATGGTAGTCGAAAAAATGCCGTTGAACAGAGCATAAAAAGTTCGCTCCGGGTTGGAGTCGATCCTTGGCACCAGAGTGACTAAGCTAGTGTCGTCGTTGCTAGACCGCTGATATGCAGCAGAAGGGATGAAAAATAATTGGATACGCAATGCATGTTGCATAAATGACAAGAGAGTTGGGTTTACCGCTGCCAAATCACCTTCCGCCAAACGGACAAAGAGTTTAGTAACATTAAAGACGCAACCTGGGTGGCGTGTTCCAGAGTTCTCTATAAAATTTTGGAAATTAAGATGGTAAGAGAATGTGTCCGGCAGCATTTTCAAGGATAATGTTTAGCCTGGATATGAAACGTTCGAGCATTTTTAGTGACACAACTGATTGCCGTGGCGCACTCAAATGCCCTTATCCTTCCAGAATCTCAAAAGCGACGTTTTCATATTTCGGGTGAACACGTTCAACTGTCCGCTTTTGCTGGTTACCCTGCAGGCCTTTAGCATGACCTACTCACTCGAAAGAAACGAACGCTGATTTGTCCCGTGTCTTCGGTTGAATTCCCTTTCCATTGACGTTAGGCAGATTGCTTCATGACTAAGATCCCGTTGTCAAACGACAGAAGACGTTAGACATATTGCGTCAAATGGCGTGTGAAGCTCCACCTGCATATGGGGCTCTGTGAAAATGACGCCCTTCGGAGAATTGGGATTTGGGGTTGGCCATAATGGGCAAAAATATTTCCACTTCTACTGTAATTCCCTCCTTCTATGACTGCTAGAGAACCTATTAGAACGTATTGTCGAACCGTTCAACCCGTCCATTGGACTACAGTGATGCGTCAGCGAACGCAATTGACTAATCCCCGATTGTTTGTAAAATTGGGAAGACGCGTCTGCTGTAAACTGCCGTTCCTTGCCACCGACCAAAGTTTCAGAACAATCAAGCTCACTGAACATTTATCAAAGGGTGTTTACTGCGGCGCCGGTCGTCGCGCACCATTTGCTATATGATTCGACGACGATCAGAACGTCTTGACTGCCAACTGTTTCCGCGTAGTCCATGTGTATCCTGGACCACGTGGCTGGTAGAAAAAACCATGTCGTAAACGTAGCCTTCGTTGCTGCCTTCGACGCAGGAAGGCTTTGGTGTGGCGGTCGGCCAGTTATTCCAATTGCTGGTCCATGCGCGACCAATACATATCACTGTAAGCAAGAGTCATCATGCCCAGATGCCTAGTGTGGAACTAGCTCAAGACTCCTGCTTACAGTTTCCGTGTGTCTACCACAGGACTGAGGATATAGTCGTCAACGGTGGACAGAGAATGTTGTCATCGGTGGAACTTTTGGACTTATCCAGATATCTTTGTGTAACTGAATACGATGGTACGTGACAAGTTGACTCAACGACGGGTCCTGTTATTTTGCGTTTCAGAATTCCTTTAAAGCTATTAGGAGGGGACAAATGGAGTTTCTTATCAGGCAGTAAACCTCTTATTCAAAGAGATGAACTTAATGACGACATTTTTGTGTTCTTTGATATTTGCGTTGATCAAGCACGACAGTGCTTCTTCCTGGCCCATATTTTTAATTAACTGACACTGGATGTCGAAGTCCTATGCATGCAGCATGTTCACCTAGTGTTGAAGATGACTTGGCGAATATAAACAAATGCTTTTATTTGATCTAAAAATTGCAAAAAGAAGCCAGTTTTTCGCTAGAAGGGTGGAGAGGCGGCCACGAAGTATACTATGAAAGCTCTTAACGGCCAAGTTGACACCCAATGTTTCCTTTCTATCCGTCCGTAATAGCGTTCCGCGGACGTCAGCGAATTTAAGGGGGGACACGTAGCCTTTCGTGTGCTGTCGCAAGATAGTGTGAAATTACGGTACCAAGTCCTGGCTGAGAGTGTCCGCTGCAAAGACGGTCTTCAGATCAGGTCGAAGTGCTGGGGCTGCTAGGCAGAACTCAGCATTGTTTTCCTGTCTTCAAAGACCTGTTGCCATTCTCGCGACCGTTTCCTTTTGACATCTTTCTTGAGCGGTTCATTCATCGGACGACGAAGGCAGTGCGAAAGACAAAGTTCGTTTGTCAGCACTGTCTGAAGGGCTGCATAGCCAACTGGCGGCTAGTCACAACTCAGGAGGACTAAATTCGAGTTCCTTTACATTCGGACTTATCCAAAGCCTTTGAAACCTTTAAACGGCTAAGTCATCTCTAAATAAGCTTCATACGATTCGGGAATTTTTCTAGTTGCTTTGAACAAATGAAGGCATGGCAGAAGCCCAACAGGCAGCCACAGTGAGAAATCCTCTCTAGGTGGGTCAGGTACAACGGGATGGCGGTTTTGAGGGGAAGAACGGGCGGGGCAAACGGCAAAGGACACTAAA